CACAATAGAAGCAGATGGGATATTGCCAAACTCTTTCTATGAGGCTACAATCACTTTGATACCCAAGCCACACAAAGATATGACTAAGAAAGAGAACTACAGACCAATATCCCTCATGAACATCCATGCTAAACTACTCAATAAAATATTGACTAACTGAATCCAAGAACATGTCAGAAAAATCATCCACCATGATCAAATAGGCTTCATGCCAGGGATGCAAGGATGGTTCAACATACGAAAATCCGTCAATGTAATCCACCATATAAACAAACTGAAAAAGAGAAACCACATGATCATCTCACTAGATGCTGAAAAAGCCTTTGACAAAATCCAACATCCCTTCATGATAAAGATCTTGGAGAGAACAGGAATAACAGGAACATATCTAAACATGATAAACCCAATATACACCAAACCAATAGCCAACATCAAACTAAATGGAGAGAAACTCAAAGCGTTTCCTCTAAAATCAGGAACAAGACAAGGCTGTCCACTCTCTCCAATCTCTTCAATATTGTACTTGAAGTTCTGGCTATAGCAATAAGACAAGAACATGGGATCAAAGGAATACAAATTGGAAAGGATGAAGTCATCCAGCAGCTGGTGGAAGTAGAAGCACACACCCACAGCTAAACCTTGAACTGAACTGAAATCCAGGGGCAGAGAAAGAGGACTGATGAGCAAAGAGGTCAAGACCAGGCTGGTGAAACCCACAGAAACAGCTGACAGAGGGGAGATAAGAAGTAGTAAGTTGGGGCTGAGAGAGGATCTGGGCCCTTTCAGAGAAGGAACATAAGAGGTAGGAGGTGACTTGTGGCAGCTCCCCTGCTTCTCTGATCTTTGAGGTTCTTACTCCAATATCTGACTCTTGATTTCTTTTATTGATAAAGAACAATTAGATAAATGCTTTAACCACAACTGGACAATGTAGTGAGTGAGTGTCTTTGGAGCACTCAGTCGGAAATGGGACATGGTCAACAAACCCCTCCCCACAAGCCTAAGCAAGCTATGTAGATGAGGAAGCAGAAAGATTGTAGGAGACAAAAGTGAATGGATGACCCCAAGGAAACAGTGGCTTCCAGGTACAAAGGATTGATACAAATATGAATTCACAGAGACTAAAGCAGCATGTACAGGTCCTGGATAGGTTTAAGCCAAGTGAGGTTCCAACATTGAGAAGGGAAAGTGGACATTGGCTTCTACCCATAATCAACAAGCTTCTGATACCTTCTGGCAAAGGATATCTTAGTTTTCTCCAATAGAGCCTCTTTGAGTATATTAACCACACTTAGGGGTAGGCATCATGCCCAGGAGTAGTCGGCCAACACAAAATGAACTCAGTGGTATTTTTGTTTTAAAAAAAAAATCTGATAAAAAAAAATGTTCACAGTAATTTGATAGAAACTTTCCATTAACCAAAACGTAGATAAAAGGCAGAAGCCTTCAAAATAACTTTTTAAAAGTTAAACAATTTAATTAAGCAATGGGGACACCTATACCCTGTCATCCTTGCTATCCAGGCCACATCTGCCTCCAGAAACTGTGAAGAAAATATGTGGTTAGGACCACTGCCAGAAGTCAGAACATTCAAGCAGCTAAGCAATCCTTCATGACTCTCAGAGCCTGGGTTTCACCTTCCCCACACCCCTGAGGTAGCAGGTGGTGATGTAAGGCCTCTATTGGTTCTGAGCAGCCAATCTTAACCTCCACATAACCATCAAGGCCAATACCAGGGGTAATTTTCAACGAACATTGACTTTGGAGGCAATTTTTAATATAATGGATTTTATCAAACTCTTTTTCCATGATGACTCATTCTGAACCAGAGGAAATTAAATGAACAAGGAAGGCAAAAAGCCATCATGTATTCACTCTGAATTTCTCTTAGAAAAACAAGACTGAACTGCACAATCACAAACTATGGATCCCACCCAGCCTTGGGGATGCACAGTAAGCCAGTGAAAAGTCAGGATATGCTCATTATAAAGAGAAGCGTGTGCCTGTTAGAAAATACAACAACCATTCAACATTCTTTGTACTGTATTTGGGACTCTGGACTATGAGAGAATAAATCACAAAGCTCAAAATGTTGTCACTGTGTACAGACTTCTGTCTGTAAGCCTTTCTAGTCTAGTCAATATGAAAATAAACTTTCTTGTTTGGGAAAATAACTAGAAATTGAAGGATAGTTGAAATTTTTGTGAGAATGACTAACACCACAAAATAGGAAGGGGATGATTTGGGAGGCACTATAAAGAAGTGGTTAAAAGAATTCCAATGAATGTAAGAGAAAAGCCAACTTCAGATGGACTTCCTGCCTTGGCCTTTAATAGCCAGACAGCTTATAATACTTATTTTATTTTTGCTTATTTCTTCTCAGCAAAGTTGTATGTGCATGCATACACATATATGTGGATGTGAATACATGGTGTGTGTATATATGTGTGTGTAAACAAATATATACAAACATACATATATGTTGAGGACCTAAGTTTCCAATATTTCACTAACATAGTACACCTTTTGCAAACACTGACATAGTATACTTTTAGTTTGTATCTCAGTACAGTTATGTCAAAAGCTGTGGTCAATTCAATCTGCATTCTTGCCTATGATACATTTTTAGGTACAATTAAACAATGAAGTATGAGTATGCTTGTTCTAACAACTTTGTTTTTCCTAGGTGTAAGTAATCATGTCTCCTAAACTATTTGTTATCTAAAAGCCAGGAATAAAGCTGATACCAGAAATTGGCCACTGGTGGACCTTGATATGAGAATGCCTCCTCCAGATCTGACTTCTATTCTTCATCACACACTCTTTAGTACTCATCATTATTTTCCACTCAGAGTTATAATGACTTTAAATAAGAATCAGAGTCTACTTTACCAAACACTCAGCAGCATGGTTTGGAACTGAGTCCTGAATAGAACCTGTAAAAATGTTGAGGTCTGTGCTAGGCAAAGTTCAGTTTGCCTAAAGAGAGTGTAGGCAGACATGTGGACATTAGGGACTCCACTGAAGGCCCAAGAAGAAAATAAGAACTGTAGAGAAACCTCTGTAATCTCAGAGAATTTATCATGAATCATTAACAGGTTGTGTAGAAATATGAATGAAAAGGGCCATCCTGGTGATAAACACAAGGAGAATGTTGAAAATAAACAGTACTGTAAAAATGTCAAGAAGCTTTGCTAAACTCTGCCCATCTCCCAGTACCTGGTAGTAAGCAGAACCAAAACTGAACACTGGGCTAAGGAGAGTTCTGAGAAAGGCATCAAAACTGCAGCCTAAGTTATTCTTGTAATCTATAGTAAAATATGAGAAGAAAGAGATAAATTAAAGGAGTTATTAAGAAAAACACGAATCAGAATTTGTTGACAACTTTGCAAACTCTCAGCCTATTTATACTGCCAGGAATAAGGAAAGTTATTCTGAAAAAAGACAAGGTTGTGTAGCTAAATGACCATTTGATAGGTACTTTGACACATGTATTAGTCATGGTACTCTAATGGAACAGAACTGATAAAATATATATGAATACATAATATATGTTTATATGTGAGTATATGAATATGTAACACATAGAATGGCATATAGGCTGTGGTTCAGCCAAGAAACCAGTAGTTGTTCAGTCCACAAGTGTAGATGTCTCAGCTGGTTTCCAATACACACAGAAATCCAGAAGTTCTAATACCAGTGAAGGGAAAGACTTGCCAGAGAGAGTGAATGCAAGCATGAAAAGAAAGAAAACATGTTTCAGTCTGTTATGTCCTTTACATAAGCTGCCAGCAGAAGGTATGGCCCAGATTAAAGGTGGATCTCCCATATCAAAGATGTGGATTAAAAGTGGGTCTTCCCACTTCATATGATTTAATTAAAAAAAAAAAACTCTCACAGATTTACCCAGCCACTTGGGTTAATTCCAGATGTAGTCAAGTTGACAACCAAGAATAGCCATCAACTAGGCATGTGAACCACAATTTTAACTAAGCAAGCACCTCAGGAGAAGCCCAGAACAGAGACTGGATTATGCCCCATTGCCAACCGGAGTGGAATTAGACAGATAAAATATGTAAAATGAAAACAATACTGTCATATTTCTAGACTTCACAAGACAGAATAAGCTATCCTGATGCGATCAGGTATTGTCCTTCCAAACTGTGAATGACCAACTAAATGGTGGTTACAAGAGCTTCAGAGTCACATACTATCCCAGACCCAACACCTCTAGTTCCACCTCCTCCATTTCAAACCATGGAGTCTTTACAGTTTGTGTATGCCCTTCCAATCAGTTTGGGTAACACTACCACCCAGCAAGTTCAGTGCATATAGCAGCAAGCCAGAAAGAAAGGTCTGACCTTTATGACCTACTTGAATTCTTCCTTAACTTTGTGTTTGTTTGGAGTTGTCACTCCTTCCTTTTTCCAGTATCTCTCTTCTGGCACTTCATATGCTGCCACATGATTGTTTGGTAAGCACATAATGTGCCTGATTTCATAGGTTTATACCAGCAATGAAATTTGACTTCATAATAAATTGTTCCTAGAATTTCAAGCCTACTTAATATGGGTAAGGTTTTCAGTTTGAGAATTGATGCTAGAATGAATTAAGACTTTGGGAACTGTTAGAATCAATTAATGCTTTTTATGTTCAAGTAGAAATACATATTTTAGCAGGCTAGGAGCATGGAATATAGACTTATTGTGACCCAAATCCATATGTTTAAGCTTAAACCCCAATGTGGCTGTGTCTTCATATATACATGCCTTAAATGAACATGCCCTAGATAGGCAATAGCCTGTATCCTTCCTTTGTTTCTAAATTGCATCGTTTTCTATTTTATGAAGTATTGTTTTATTTAATGTGGTCTCTACTAGTATTGCCAATAAGAGTCCTTACAGAGTGATTGACCTGGAAACAAAATTAAAAGTGATAAGTGACTATTAAAAATAGTAATAGTTGTTACTCATTCCTCAGACACACCCTATTTCAGCATAGCAACCATCTTAAAGAAGAAGGAACAGGAGCTGCTAAAGGATTCACTTCATTGAAGGAAATGGGACAAATAAAATTTTGAGGGGTGCCTACCTCAGCTATGGAAAAATTTAATGATCATGATTGGAAATGAGACACAGAAGACAGTCCATTGCAATCTGTGTAAGTACAATCTGTAATGTTTACCTGATATTGAAATGATCTAAAACGCTTTCTCAGAACACATTCTATTATTACATTTGGGAGAAAAAGGTAATTCAGGTAAAGTGGGGTGACAGGGATGGGTCCCTGATCATGTAGGTTAGTGTTCATATATAAGAAAACTCCAAAGAGTTCACTCTTTTTCTGAATGTGTACACCATAAGGACAGGCAATGTTGGATGGCAGCCAGCCAGCCAGTGACACAGAAACACCTGTGTCTTTAAATCCATTCTGCCCAGGAAAGGGAGATATGGCCAAGCACTAATCCTGTTGGGCCTTCTTCCAAACTCCAGAACAATGAATAAATAAACTATTGTTATTTCAGCCAGCCTGTCTATAGGACTTTTTTGTAGTTATGATTTAATAACCTCATCATAATATGTGTTTACATTTATAAGTAAATGCCAATTCATATCAGGGCTACATTTGCAACAACAATTACATTATATCATTTCATAAAGTGATTGACAGAGCAACTTTTTGTGGCAGTCTCTAAAGACTACTCTAACCCCTCCCTATTTCTTCAGAGCCTATATCATTCTCATGCTTATACCCCTTCGGGATATGGTAGAATACGGTTCTAACAACTTACTAAGAAATTACGAAAGCTAAAACTTTGGATATGCACATACCTGGCTGTATCTTAATCAATTCCTATGCAATGCTAGCATTAACATCAACATTGGATCTAAGATTCTAATTAGGAAGTCATTTTACTTCATAATGTTAACAGCACTCCTCCTGTTTCTCACTCAGTACATGATTCCATGGCACCAATCCTTTGTAGACAGTCAACTCCTTTACTCTTCCAAAATTAAAGTGAGGACTCCCCCAGGTTCCTCAAAATAGGGAAAGTGGACCAGAGGTAATAAATACCCATCACAAAATATCCAAAAGGAAAATTCCATCACTTCAGCCTCTACCTTCTATCCCTACTTTTACAAGAGTTCATTTCCTCTAATGCCTGAATGCTAAGCTATAAAAATGAATCACCTTGATGCTGGATCTCCCAGACTGCTGACTGAAATGTATTGTTCTTTCATCCTATATTCCCCAAATCCTGTCTTCTCATCCCTCCTCTTTGACCTTGTGAGTAGAGGTCCTTTTGATATCAACTTGCCATCACTGTAGTCATCTTTTGGGAATCAGCTAGCCAATCCATAGTTCAGGATCCATTTACTGGGGATGTGTCCATATTCAAGTTATTACCTTCCTGTGACTCACCTTATTTCTAAAATGGGTAATGATAGTATTAGACTATATACAGGTATTTTGAAGACTGACTAGATATACCAAGGTCTTTAAAACAAAATTACATAGCGATAGCCATTATGTCACAAACATGGTTAAAACCTGTCATACTACATTGTTAAAGAAAATCAGCAGGAAGTGGTTTTATTTTTTAAGAACCAAGGTCCCTTCTGTTCCTCAGGAAGAAGAGGATTTTTATGGTATTTACTGACTTATTGGATGAGTTGTGGAAACTTGGGGGCATATGCATTTAAACAGAGGAACAAGTAAAAAAAAAAAATCCAGGTCATCTGTACATTATCTG